AAGTGTTAGTTTTAACGATAAATGGAATAATGCGCCATTTAACTATTTGTTTATATCGCCAGGAGTACAAAGGATATAATATATTCAAGTCGTTCCATTGACTGCCTCTATTGATACAGCGTATGCAAATTTCTAACTTTCCAGCATGTTGTTGTAAAACATTGGGTTTTTCATAATACTTGCTCAAAACGTGGCTCCTTTCCTGTACAGTTTGACGATTTCGTGGGACTTGTAGAGCAGGAACAAAATCCTCGTGATTGCCAGTAAGAATTGTCTGTGAGTTGTTCTCAAATTTCAGGTTACTTGTTCATTTCACGCAGAAGTATTTGCAGTTCGATGTTGTTGATTCGAAGCGATTCAAACCCATCAAGGGGTTATATAGCGATAAAACATCTCCTAAAGCACATATATTCGATGGTACAACCGAGTTTACCAAAAAGAGATTCAATTTAGGTGATAAATGTTCGTAAAACGAGGGTATAAAGAGAAATATGATGAAATATGATGGAGGCCACAAAAACGTGACTAGCCGCCATGTTAATATTTTAATATAATGCAGAATTTGAAAAACTACATCGATTTTAACTTGTGAAACCTGTCTGCCATGGAAGAAGTGCAAACAGAATTTTTCCCATGTAGCAACATGTTTATGGATAGCTGCAGATCTCGTAGTTCACAAAAGCTCTCTTCCAATCCAAATCTGTAATCTTTCAACCCCTGCACTAATGTAGTTGCAACCTGCTAGACAGATGACACTCGCATCGCTTCTACCAAACTTTGTGGATCACGTCCTGTCGAAAAAACCATCCGAGATATCTGTTCATTGCTTGGATAAGTAAAGCAGATATCACCGCCGTATAAATCGATTATTAGTTGCTTGACAGTTCTGTTGGTAACTGTAGAACTAAAAGTTGAATTTTCATTTAGCTTTTCTCTGATGAAAGAAAGACTGTATGCCGTGTTCTGAAAATCAAGTTCTAGTGCCAGAAACCTTTCCTTCAGATGTTCGTTGCCTGCTACCACGGATTCCTCAGCCTCGAGATTTTTCATGATTTCTGCAATTTTCAAGTTGTACTTGTTGAAGTAGTCTTTACAACGATAGCTGTGATAGTAGATATCTGCTGCAAAAAACATCTTCTGGACCACACAGCACTGCTGTTTCGGTATATACACGATCTTGGAGCAACTTAGCTGCATTTAATAACTTTTGAGCGATTTGTTTTTCACAGATTCTTAGTAAGTTATGTACTTTCTGCTGCTTTACGGTCTTGCAATCTGAACCACAAATGACACATACCTGTTTCATATTGTTCGTCTTAAGCCTTGTTCTGTGTTGATCTTTGTCATTTCCACATCATCGACTGTCATAGATGGTTCCACATTGTGCCTTCATAAATCTATGACCCTTTTAGCTCGGTTGCCATCACCGCCATCTTCTTTTGCAAGAGAAATAATGTGTGCCCTGCCCGTTTCACTGCTCAAAAGACAATCAGATAGCATTTTTGTTTGACATAAAATACATTTGTCCAATCTTGTCGGCGTTGATGGTTTACATGTAGAAATACAATTAGCTACAAGGGGCACTTCGTCCTGAAAGTAATTGTGTGGTTATCAGGGGTAAAACTCTAGCGTCGCATTTTGCTGTCAAGCATAATTTTGCAAAAGAATGCATGCAAGGTTTACTAGGACTCACTCCATGCTTCTATCAGGAGTGGATGCATTATGCCAAAGCATTGAAACAAAAAACGGCCAACAAACAACGAACAAGCACATTAGGCTTTTAGTAATTGCGACATTAAGCCCATGAATGTGTAGAGCGGCTTTCTAGAAACCTGAAACAGAAGTTCAAATTCCATTCGAGGCAACAAATTTTTCGTTTTTTTCTGCAGTGTCAGATAAAATCGAATTTAATCCACTAGTAGTTCTCATGTATCAAAAGAAGAAAGTCGCACTTAAAATTAATCATTGTCTATACCTTTCGTTGTGACACCTTCAAAAGGCTGCTTCCTTAGTTCTGCTGAAATATCTAAAAATACATATACAGAAAAATTGTATGCATAACAAGAGCCAATCATGATCATCGGGTATGCAAAATACGCTAGCCGTATACATTTATATTACAGTCTCGTACCCAGACGCTATAAAACAAGTTACCCAAGCACGCCGAGTGCAATTCCTTTTATAGCGCCTGGTTATGAGGCTGTTTATATTACACTTCATGGAAATTATGTTGGTACCACATACCCCAAAAGACCCCTATTCTATAGTTTTTAAAAACGGGTTTATACCATGCCCCTATAGCTAATACAACAAAACAATGCCCCTATATACACCGCATCTATACAATGAAAGTGAGTTCTGCATACCCATTTGTTGTTGATTTTACAATGCTTTCCTCCTCTTCCTCATCACTTGTCTCCAAATGGATTTTCACATGTATGCGTGTTTTAGACGAGCTTTGCAGTGGATGCGGCTTTCTGCTTGCCTGATGCTGAAACGAAAACCACTTTTGGTATATGAACATCATTTTTATACAGAGAGACATCATTTTAAATTCTTTAAATACCTTTCTTTGACGATTAATTATTTTTCTCTTGTTCGTTGACGTTCTTGTCATTGTTGTCAATCTCACTGTCCTTTAAAACATCTCCATCGTCATCGAAGTCAGCACCCAAAACTCTTTCTAAGGCTGCGTCCAGTTTTACTTGTTTCACAGTGCACTGCTCTCTGTCTCCTGTAGTACAAGATGGTACGACAATTTGAAATTACTATACATTCATAATAGAGGCTTACTTTTGCGGACATTCTGACTACTTTAAAGAACCACAGGATGATTTTTTATCAAAAAATCCCTGAAAAAAAATTAAATAAATCTCTGGTTCTTGGGATTTTTTGACAACTTTTCAGGGAATTGGGGATATTTTGCTGCCATTTTTTGAGGTTTTGAAAGTTTTTTTTAGCAGATTTTTGAGTGATTTTTTTGAGATTTATTCGAAGTTGAGAAACTTTTTATTTGTTGAGAATTTTAGGGAAAGTGGATTTCGGGAAAGTGTACGAGGATTTTTCAAGTACACATCTCAGTATGCCGTTTAGATTAGGCAAGCTTATGTATTAAAGTCGAAAAGATGATTCGTCTGAGTTGCTTTACCCATGCAAAAATACCGGGTGATATATGGAAAGATTGCAGGTTTGCTCATTTGCTGATAAAATGGCTAGAACTGAGCAGCATTTGCTACTTTACGTAATGTTTAATAAACGAGTAGGAGTGTTTTATCACATATAAAACACGACGCATAGCGGAGTGTTTTATATGTGATAAAACACAAACTACGAGTTTATTAAACAGCTTCAAAAACATCTCAGTTAGATCACGGCATTGGCGAAATAATTTTCCAAAATAACTTTGTATTAGCTGAGAAAATACAAGTTGAAATTTGAAGCGTACATATAAAGACACGCCACGCTTATGATTTCTCTTTGTGTTTTCCTCATGAATTATTGAGTTTTTGAATATTATATACTTACCCACAAAGACAACTTTTCCTTGAAACGTATCATCTTTGCTATCTCTCACAGTAACATTGTCCCTTATAACAGGATATTCTGGGCTTACAATATTTTTCCCTTCTACCAAGGAATGATGCATTTCCACTGGATAATATACTATGTAGCACGCTTCGCTTTTACTTCGAGAACCTATTAATTACAAGTGATAAGTGTGTGTAAAAACAGCTGGACCTCTATTAATTAGAAAGACAGGAAAACCGGACCTTTTGCCACTGGCGATGCATGGCAAACCCAAAATTTTGATCAGTGTAAAAACTACAATGTCAAAATTGTATTTCCCTTTGGTACAATTGAGATGGTTCTTAGTTAGACATTTAACACTCGTAGCATGATAGCCAAAATCCTGTTCTATAAATAAAAATAACCAGTGATATGGGGACTGATATAATATTCGGTGGCATGACATACAAAGCCAAGGTGTTCACAAACCAAACAGAATATGAATGCTTTAATTACATATCAGCATCTTCACGAATATTGTCCAAAATAAGTAGTTTATCACACTGTAGTAAAAATAACCGTGGATATATTAATTAATAATAAATCTTTACAGAAATAGCTATTTTTTCTGAACCCAAAATAAACTGTCCATTAGTATTAACAAGGTTTGTGTTCTGACTATGGGAAATTTGCCAAATTGTGTAGGTCTACCTTGGGAGAATGCATGAAATAGCAGTTACTTAGGTACTAGTAAACGTCGCAGGCAAAGAGCTAATTAACACTTGAAGCAAACTCTGTAGTACAGCTATATACTGTACTTGTGCATGCCTATCCTAAGTCCAATTTAATCTGAGTAATTGTCACGAACTGTAGCCTACTAAGCGCTCGACAACGTGTTGTTTAAAAATATAAGTATACATGTATGTACAATGTATTATAACATTTTCTATACACTGTTATATGGCATTACATTACATGGTGTTTGGTTATTACAAAGTGCAACCAAGAAGTATAATTAGGACAGTAATATTATATTGCATAGAAACAAACTGGTTTACTATTAAAAACTTACTCACCAGGAAACTTGTCTTTAAAGAAACTTGTCTGCATCCTCTCCGATATTGGAATTCTATTGGTAGCCATTGTAATATAGTTTTCTATCAAAATCAATTTTAAAAAATGCGTGCACAATTCTGAAGCAACCGAGTTTAGACTTTGGTGGAATGATGTTAACTCTGATAGATGCATCAATAATGCATACCAGGTGTACCTTAATATCCTGTCTGCCAATCATTTCATGTGTAAGATTAAAACTAGCCAATCATCAGTTAATGCCACATGTCGCGCGGAATGCTGCGCAATGCAAGGTTATATCATGCTTTGTGGTAAAATTTTGTTGATAATATTTTATTTATACAGTTTTTATATGTCTAAGCGGTTTAATTATATAAAGGAGCTAAGCGACAGCGGTTCCTCAGACGTACATGATGCTGATGCTTGTAACGAGTTTGAGACACTGTCCAAAAAATTTCGCTTGAGAATATCGAAAAAGAAACAAGTGATGAATACAGTTTAGAATAAAGCGAGCAAGAGGAGGGAAGTAATGTGCTCTTCCAGTACGGCAAAGAAATCAGATATTTATGAGAGTTGTCAAGTTCTGAGACTGAGCAAGTAAGTATATACCAGCTGTAGCAGTTCTTCTAGCGAAAACGAAACAGATCAAAATTATTCAAGTGGTACGTATTATTAAATCTATATCACCTGAAGGTATTGAAGTTATGAAATATTCGAATCAGTAATACGCTTTGATATTTAAAATACAGTATTCGTCACATCAGGGGCGAGCTTTGAGCTTTCTTGTTCGTATTTCCTTCCTTAGTTTTGTTGCAGCTGACAATGCATGTGTGAAAATATTGCCACATCAGAATATCATATTTTTAATACTCGACACTGAAGCCGAATTCACTTCAACTGGAAAGTATTAAAAATATACAATGTTTATATATCATTAAAAAACTAAAAAAACCCATTGGGCTAGTATTCCAAAGGTCGTAGGTTCGAATCCCACTGTGGCCAGGCATATTTTTCAAGCTCGCCCGGTGTGGATATGCACTCAGAGTAACATCGCAAACATATTATTCACCTGAGTACACAACACCAGCACAGAAAAATATTCATATTACTAGAACACATTGGTATTGAAGGAACTAGATACTGTTCCGAAATATCACTTACTCGAACCGTCCTGACCGCGTAGCTCAGTTGGAAGAGCATTGGGCTAGTATTCCAAAGGTCGTAGGTTCGAATCCCACCGTGGCCGGGCATATTTTTCAAGCTGGCCCGGTGTGGATATGCACTCAGAGTAACATCGCAAACATATTATTCACCTGAGTACACAACACCAGCACAGAAAAATATTCATATTACTAGAACACATTGGTATTGAAGGAACTAGATACTGTTCCGAAATATCACTTACTCGAACCGTCCTGACCGCGTAGCTCAGTTGGAAGAGCATTGGGCTAGTATTCCAAAGGTCGTAGGTTCGAATCCCACCGTGGCCGGGCATATTTTTCAAGCTCGCCCGGTGTGGATATGCACTCAGAGTAACATCGCAAACATATTAAAAAACTCATTAATAATTCAGGAGCAAAACACAAAGACAAATCATAAGCGTGTCATGGTTTTATATGTGATAAAAAATCACGTTAATTTACATAAACTTTAGCTTTGATTTTCTCGGTTTAGACAAAGTTTATTTTAAAAATTACTTCGCCAATGAACTTGTATAAGATGAGTAGTTTTTTAAGCTATTTAAAGCACTTGTAGTCGTGTTTTATCACATATAAAACACTCCGCTACGTGTGCTTTAAATAGTACATATACACGCGCAGTTTACATGCATAAAACTCGAACCTGTTTTGCGGTTTAAAAGTAAAAGCCCCTGAAGGTGTTGATACTCGTATTTATTTATATTTAAAGTGCCCATAACCGCAAAATTGATTTTCAGCTTAAGTAAAAGTACGGTAGGAGTGTAGTAGTTTCGCAAAAAAACATTTGCTTTTGAGTAAAAAACCAAAATTTTAGAGCCACTTGAACTCGCAGATATTGGGATTTTACTTGGCACATGGCCTTCAGAATATCTAACTGCTTGAAGTCTGGAACAAGCATTATTTGTGACGTCACGCTATTTAGTTGTGGTTTCAGCAAGAGCGCATTTGTATGTAAATTTCATTATCACAAAACACTCCACGGAATGTTGGCCAATACGATAGGACTTTGGAAATATCAACTTGTTGTACAAGTATACCACTAAAGGGCGCGCTTCCTTGTTCGAAAATATTGATTCTTAAAGTTTGCAGTTTGCCTGGCAGTTCGCGCGACAATAATAACTATCGTATTAAATTGCAACAGAATTTAAATTGGGCTATACAGACTGTATAATGGTGCGATCTTACCGTTTGCGCTAATAGTCAACGGAAAACCCAAGTTGCCAAACAATAGACGTTACATTACATATTTATTATGTTATGTAAGTGTATGTTCTAAAACACATTGGCTGTTTTGTTTGCAGTGGAAATATTGCAAAGTGTCACTATACTGCCATTTGATATGTGCTGGCGATCTGCGAGAACAAAGTATGCGCTGCCCGCTCTAATTGTAAGAAATATACGCACACTTCGCAGATTCAACACTTTCCCCTTGAAACACAATGACTAACATACTACAGGTTTACAGTTGTGACACAGAAATGACAGAATAGCACACCAAATTGTAAGATTGTAATTGCAAATTGTCTTGTCATATGATCATGATTGTATATAATTTAAATATTGCTGCAGCGACAACTTAAGAACATAACACAACATATTTTATCCTTGGTGGACCGATCACTGAGCATAGTAGAAACTGTGGCAAAGTTTCATAAAATTGAATCGCAAAATGTATTTACTGTGTATCACTGTATTTACTTATTTAGTAATAAATTCAGTAACTCGCGCGTGACATCACAAATTGTGCAAAACCCAGACTCCTGTACCCCAATTCGCAAATTACTGAACTAAAAAGACATAAAATTACAATGCATCCTTGCTGAGACATCCCGGTGCTAAGGAAATGCAGAACTGACCAATCAGCTTCGATTTTGGTTAATAGCCTTTAAACGACCAAAGTAAACCTTTGAATCTACCAAAATGGCGCCCAATTACGCGTAATGACGTCATGTGCGAACGAAGAATTGTTGAAAAATTCAGCCCTAAATCGTAAATTTTTCTCTTGCAAAAACACAGTAAGGGTGTCACTTTCAGCTGAATTATATATGAAACATTACATCGAGAATTCAGGTCTTGTTAGACCAATTTCAAAAGGGCAGTGTCACGACATTGATATCAGATACGTTGATATACATTAGTACTTCGGAGATCAACCTATTAGGTATCGCTATGGACCATGAGTTAAAATTTATCAAACACATCAGATGTATGCAGCAAAGAGGCGAAAAAGTAGGCGTACTCACGAAGTTGAGGAAGTTAATACCCATGTACTGAAGCGAAATTAAGCAGATATGTTAGCAGATTACACTGATAATTGCTTATATGAAATAATTAATATCCTTAATAGTCTTATTGACTATAAGTATTATAGTAATATAGTCAGATGTCCCCAATTAGTTTCTAATAAACCAGCACAACCGACACATAAATAAAGTTTTAATTTCTCAATCAATCGATTGATTTTATTTTCCAGAAAAACAAAGCGTTGGTGAACCATATTATATACGTAACCATGGTGGTGGTGGCGGCGATGACGATGATGATGATGATGATGATGATGGTAGTGGTAATGAGGATGATGGTAGTGGTAATGAGGATGATGATGAAGACGATGACCTTGCCCACGATGATGATGAAAGCAACGATAACAATAGCGACGAGGATCAAAACTCTGAAGTTCCACTCTACAATGGTTCTCCAGTCTCATGTGACGAATTTCGCAGCACTTTATTGGCCTTGCAACAGAAGCACAACTTTTCATGGGCAGCTACAAACAGTATTCTGAAACTATTTCAAATCACACTTCCTACAGGAAACAAATGTCCAACTTCAAACTATAAACTAGAAACTGAATTTAGCGAACTTTCGTATTCTTTTAAGAAAACGTTCACTTGCCTAAAATGTCAACACATCCTGGACGAAGACGGTTTGTGCACAAATACAGAATGCTGTAAATACGAAAATGATGGACTTGGCGAGAATTCTAGTGTATTTTACATAATTAACCTGGTTGAAGAGATAAAGGTGTTTATTTCTGGTGAGTGAAGCAAAAGTTACTAAATTCTTTAGGTCCAGAGTAATATGGTGCTGTGTATCACTAGCTAGTTAAACAAAGCTTCAATGTTAAATAACCAGTTTGCTTACAAGAGAATACTATAATTAGCCAGTGCAACTGGTGGGCTTGGGGATCTTTTGATACTATGCTTAAAACACTGCCACTCACGTTTTATTATCAAGCGCTAGCTATGTTATGACAAAGCGCTCTTAGTCGTGTTTTAAATAGTACCTTGTTCTCTGCGCTAACTTGTGACATTTATGATATTGTCCATCAATCAATATAACTGATATCGCCTCGCCCCCAGAAATGATAATCTATACTTGACCTCTTTGATATAGTATTTGGTAATTGTCAGAAGTGTAGCTCAATGTCATACAATAATAGACAGCTTAAGATGTGCTTAATCTAGTACGCGGACGTGACAAAAACCAGTGACTTATGTTTACTTTTGGATTTGTAACCATGCAGTTTAAATTTGTTTTTCATCTGTATCTGTCCTTGTTCACAAAACGAATCCATAGTTTTTGCTCATGTTGGTGACACGAGCAAAAACTATGGATTCTTTTTGTGAACAAAGACGGATACAGATGAAAAACAACTGTTAAACTAATGTCTCACTTGAAGGCCTTCACGAAGTGAAGGAAATCGACATTTACGCTGATGATGTGATGTTTTTTTCCTCACAATTAGAGAACTTTAGTGACATGAAGAATTACGTCGACAATTATGTCTTCAGTGAGGGTACGTATAATGATATTCTGGATGGCACTGTATACAGGAAGCAAAGTTGAATCGCCAAGGAAGATGGAAGTTTTTGCATTTCCCTGTATTGGCATATTGATGGTGCTCCAGCTCTAAAATAAAAAAATATGTCCCTGTGGCCAATCCAGAGCTTTGTTGTAGAAATGCCCCCAAATCTAAGGTATTCGTTTAAAAATATTTTACTTTCCGGACTTTGGTACGGACGAAAGAAGCTGGAAATGAAAGTGTTCCAAAACCACTTTGTTCAACAGGTAAAAACTCTCCAAGAAGGCTTCCAGTTAGATGTAGACGGTAATGAGACAAAATTTAAACTTGTTGTTGGTGGGCAAGCGGCTGATTTGGTTGCGAAGGCGCCATCTATTAACTGCAAGCTTCATAACGGAAGGTTTGGTTGCAGCACTTGCTTACATGCTGGAAGGAGGTTAGCAGGTCGTGGGGACAAGAGAGTTTATGAATATTGTCCCAATATTCCACCAAGAAGGAATCACACTGATTTCCTACTTCACGCTACCTTGGCAGAGCAAAGTGGGGAAACTTTATATGGAGTTATGGGCACATCACCTGTACATGATATTCTAGAAATACCTGAAATGGTATTGCTAGACTATATGCATCAGGTTCTTGAAGGGGAGTATACTAGGAGGCTTTCGAAATGGTTCAATGGAAGTTGCCCTAGTGGAGTAAGCCTCCGAGATGAAGCAACAAAGGAAACACTTTCTGGAAAACTCATGTCAACCCGACTTCCACATGACTTCAAGAGAAAATTGTGACAGGTTGAAGAATTTAAGCGATGGAAGGCGAATGAGAAACAAACTATGTTTCTACATGTAGGACTGCCGCTCCTGAAGCAACTGCTACCCGCAGAATTATTTTATCACCATTGCTTGCTCGTGACGGGTATCAGACTATTATGTGAGGGCATAACTGAAACAACCATCAGCGTAGCTGAAGCCATGCTCCTTAATTACACTAGACTCCTTCCAAGTCTTTATGACGTCACTGAAGCGACTTATAATTCTCACTCTCTTACGCATTTTCCTCAGCAGGTGCGAGATCATGGTCCTCTAATTCTACATTCAACATTCGTATTTGAATCCACATTAGCTCATCTAAAACGGTTGTTTCACGGTACGAGAGGCATACCGGACCAAATTATTAAAAAGCTGGCAATAGCACAGCATGCAAATGGGCACATCCTAAAGAAAGTCCAAAGAAACGAGGCGGTAAAAGAACTAGCTGAAACGTTTTTGAAACCATCCGGCTCTCAAAACGTGGTAGAGATGAATAACGGGATCAAGTTTATTCCACCTTTGCAGCAGAAAGTCCCTGAAGTCCAACATCCAATACAAAATTTCCCTGTCGATGCACATGGAATAGCGGTTGCCCAACGTATGATAAAAGACGGGCAAGTTTACCATAGTTCTCACTATTCTCGTAAGAAAAACTCCGCTAGTTTCTTGGTGCAGTTTAGTGAAGAAGGGTCTGTGTATTTTGGGAAAGTTGAATACTATGTGAGAAACAGTGATGATGGATTTGCAATTGTCAATTTGTTTAGAAATCTCCAGTTGAACGTTTCTGAGATAAATATTGTCCAGCCTGAAGATCCAGTTCGAAATGAGTTTTGGTCCGCTGGTTATCTTGGTTGCCATTTCACGGCAGTGCAAAGGACACAACAATATAGATACATTCATTGCTCAAGCATCACACATTGAATTGTTTTTGTTGAAACTGAAGAACCAGATGTTGATGGCTACGTTTCGACAGTTTTAAAAGCTACCAACATGACTAAGTTGAGACATTAATATACTGTTGTGCAAGCCGTTGGAAAGGCATGTTTACACACATTACCGATTTTGGATCTACTTCATTAATAATTGGAAATTAAAGCTCAGTAAACGTTGTGTAATGTGATTACCTACTGATTGATATTCGTTCTTTAAACATCGAGGAAAACCTGAAATCGGCCCGACAAATCGCTGTGTGTGTAAATGTGTGCTTAAGCAATTTTGTTCAATATTATTCAATATAGTGTATTTATATAAATGACAATACTCGACTTTGAAGAAATAATTTAAAATTAAATTCTCAAACTCTTTCATATACATAGTAGTCAGAGACTTGTAGTAGGTAACCATAAAGTGGATAGCCATAGACATGGTAGTCTTCATGAGATGTCTCTGCGTTTCTCGTTTGTAAACTGAATAGACATGATCCCACAGTATGTATTTGTCTCTAAGAAACAGGGAACGTGTGTACCGTGGGTGTTCCAATTTATGACCACTGGTGTGTAGGTAGTTTCTTTATGAGGTGGGGAGGGTCTGAAAAAAAAAGAATATTGGCATCCCAGAAACATTTTTTTTCCATGCTTCGTGTTTCATCAAAAAAGCCGTTTTTTTATTTTTAAGAAAAATCAATTCGAAATAACTTTAACAAAGTTTTTCACCTAGGGAAAAAGATATAAATAAAATTTTTTTTCCGTGGTTTGAGTTTCATGGCCAAACATGTCTACATTGGCCTTTCGAGTGAGACCATGGCACAACCAAGCCGATTTTCAATAACTTTATCAATAACTGTGCAAAATTTTAGGCAAAGTTTTTCACCTAGGTAAAAAGATAGAAGTCGAAACATTTTTTTCTGTGCTTCCTGCAAAATAAGTTAATGGCTAACAGTCATTTCATGTAAGACCATGTCAATACCAAGCCGAAAAGTCATGTTTTAACAAAAAAGCCAACTTTCTATTGGTAAAAATCATAAATTATATGATACTATATATCATTATAACTGTAAATTTTGTGGTGAACAGCTATAGTTCATACATGAGACAGTATCTTGAAATATCAACAAGACATTTTTGTCCATGCATGAAAAAAGTAACAGAGAACCATAATGCAATGTATATAAAGAAAAGTTTTTGCCTGCTTTGAAAAGACACTTCTCATTAGATTTATAGAAAAGTGTTAGTAATATAAATAAATTATGCTGACAGGGTTAAAAATTCTAAAAACAATTATGTTCACCTAAAGTTTTTTAAGAATTTAATTTACTGAAAAATTGTGTTGCAATGTTGACATTGACTTTTAGTTTGACCGCGATTTGTAGACTTTTTATGTTTTAGCTCTCACGCGCTGTCAAGAAAATTATGTTAATGCCAACATTTAAGCATAGCAAAAAAAGCCGGTCTTGGTATATATTGTCTACTAAAGCCAGAGAAATTCCACACATTTTTAAGCTATCAAATTTATCTAGGCCTACCCAGTGTTCAGACAGCATTGATTTTAATCTCTTGTCGTGCGCAAAGTAATAAAATTTGATTCCCGTCACATTAAAGTAATTGAAAAACTAACTTATTTTCTCAAATACATTGGATGCTTCTTTCATAAAAAGTTTATTCATAACATAAAAATTAATAAAAGAAATCTCGCATTAAAAAAGGTCTTGCCTCTATTTTCACCCTGACTTTCAAAGTCCCACAGCAATCATTTTTCCGCCATGACTTCGCTTTTCTTTCAAAACGTGCGCTAGTGCAAGTTCTCTGGTGCATCACACATAGATCACACGATAATAAGTGTGTTTCCACGCCCATGTTAACAGGTGGGCAATTTGTCTGAGCATGCGCGAAGAAAATCAATATGGTGACATATATTTAGGAGTGCTTCGTGGGTTTATCTGGTTTTAAAGCTGATAAAACAACACATTTTAATGAACGAAAACTTTGTAATATTTAGTGGAAAACATTAAGCTGTACAGTTAAAAGATTTTAGATTAAAAATAAGTATTTTTGCTTTATTTTGTTGCTTTTTATGCTTTGAAAACAGGCAAGCTCATTTTTTTGAAAAATTCTAACCTAATATTTTACCCATCATTTGTTTAATCTGAACAGAAATAGATAGAACACTTGGCTATATAAGTTATAAAGGTATTGTTAGCTGATCTGAAAGATTTCAGTATTCCTGGTATACATTTTAACAAAGAATAAAATTAAAATATATGCATATCAAAAACAATGGTTTTTATTAGAACAACACAGAATAATTGTATTTTTACAAAAAACAAGTTTGAAAACAGGTTCTAGTCCTCCAGCTTGATATCCATATTCCATTTATTTGGATATTTGAATAAAGGAATGTGAAATAATAATTGAAACTTGTCCAAAATTTGATACCAACACTGGAGTGAACAGATACTATCATCTAAAAATAAAAGAAAACATAACTTAAATTTATCATATAATGCTATGAAAAAATCTTAGATACTACAAGCATATAGTGAACACAACTCTTTAACAAACTCACTAAAATAAGTTAAGTTATGCTATGATAAGAGGATGGCAATATATGACAACATCAAATGGTACCATCTTCACATAGGTAGCCCAAACACACTGTGCGATTTAAATTTAAATGCTTGGCATACTTAATTACCCCATGCGGTATCGATTTCAAAATAATAATGTTAACAATTAGCTTATAAGTATTCAGAATTTTTACACTAAAATGTATCACTAATCAATACTTATCGTTTAAGGAAATATACTTAGGTACATAGCATGCATCAGCACAAATAAATAGTTTATACCTTTAGTAGAAGCACTTGAAATCCAGCTTTAAAATCATGACACTCACGGCGACGCGGCAGCGGGAGGAGGGGAAAGGAGACAAGGTTGGCAACATCTATTGGCCAAGCTGCACGTATCACCATAAACAAACCCGTCTAACTCGACAATACGGAAAGCTCAGCCGAAAATTCTACAACAGCTGATAAAACAACTATCTTGCTTTCCAACAATGTAGTCCTTTCAAAATTTGAAAGTTTCCCTTTGCAGAAATTTCACTTCAAACCACAGCCTCCATACAAAATTTACGATGTGACTGGGCGCAAGGTAAACAAGGTTCACGGACGGTAAATTTTAAATTTAAATCTCGTGCCTAATTGGATAAGCGTAATTGAATCAAGTGACGTAATATAAAGTGACGTCTCGCAAGGTCGTACTGCTTTATCCAATTAGGCACGAGATTTAAATTTAAAATTTACCGTCCGTGAGCCTTGTTTACCTTGCACCCAGTCACATCGTAAATTTGGTATGGAGGCTGTGGTTTGAAGTGAAATTTCTGCAAAGGGAAACTTTCAAAATTTGAAAGGACTACATTGTTGGAAAGCAAGATAGTTGTTTTATCAGCTGTTGTAGAATTTTCGGCTGAGCTTTCCGTATTGTCGAGTTAGACGGGTTTGTTTATGGTGATACGTGCAGCTTGGCGAATGGATGTTGCCAACCTTGTCTCCTTTCCCCTCCTCCGCCGCGTCGCCGTGAATGTCATGATTTTAAAGCTGGATTTCAAATGCTTCTACTAAAGGTATAAACTATTTATGTTGATGCATGCGCATGCTATGTACCCAAGTATATTTCCTTCAACGATAAGCATTGATTAGTGATACATTTTAGTGTAAAAATTCGGAATATTTTTGAGCTGATCGTTAACATTATTATTTTGAAATCGATACTGCAGGGGGTAATTAAGTATGCCAAGCATTTAAATTTAAATCGCACAGTGTGTCTGGGCTACCTATGATCTTCAGTGTCCAAAAAAAGTGCCGCGCGCATTTTTCATGGTTGCAAAACTGGCGTTGCCACAAACCCAGGTGAAAAAGCAATTAGAAAAACCTGGTTTTGGGTGATGAACATAGTCAAATTCTTGACTTATTCAATTTTCTAAGTTTTTCCAGGTAAACAGATTCAACAGTGAAATAGGCCCCATTCGGGACCTCATAGGGTCCAAAATATTGTGTATGGACCAGATTTTTTTCAATTTTCTGTGATTTACATGACATTAGTTATAATTTAAGGGACAACCAGTATTGTTCAAGACCTATTTTCCTTCCCGAACACCTTTTCAAAATACTAACCCAAACATGTCAAAAATAGTGCAGCTTTACAAGGGCAATTTCAACCCTTTGGCACATTTTTCCCATTGAGGATTTTAATTCTAATAAAAAGACTATAGATAAAACTTTGATTTAAAGCTAGTTTCAAGTGATGAGCATACCCCTAATTTTTAAGCTACAATCAGTGACAAAAGGTTTTTGGACAGTGGTATAATATATACATATCTCTGCATTTCCAAATACTGTTCAGCATAAAGCCACTATCCCTCCCTCCCCCACCCTAAACAATGTTGGCTGGCTGGCAAGGAAGATTTTGCGCAGGTATTTCCACACACAACATTGAACGGGGGGTGCGGGGGGTCGGTTATGCTGTAAACGTACGCTGTTTAGCTATTTTGTCCAAAGTGTTTTGTCACTGATTGTCCGAAACGGTATTTTAAGCCAAATTAGAATTTCAGTTATTGAAGCTAGAATTACTTGTATTTTATAGTATTACCAATAGTGTTTACAAATATAATAGATAGCGTGTTTTGGTGAGCGTAAACATGGTTAATTTGCGCATGCATTGTATGTTATTATTCTAGTTTAATCATAATGCGTTCATGCACGTTTCCAGAACCAGTCCAACATTGGGAATTTCCTAGTTTGGAACTGCAAGCGAAACTAGTAGAGCAATCTGGAATTTAGGGCAGGTAAACACGTTCGGAAGCAAATGCAATTGTCTTTAAGTGCTTATTACGTTACTTTTGTGGAGAATGTCACGTCATCGGTAACATCCGGATTAATCTCAAAGCTGTAGTATTATAAAGCACACAGTATGCATGCTATAAATAAGAACTAGTTATATAGAAACAAAGTAATAATGGCATATAAAAAAACTATTTCAGATACAACGCGAGCGTATGCGCTATTTCTTGGTAAAGAGAAACGATATTCCTGCAGAGCGATTGCTAAAAAAGCAAGAATATCTAAAGCGTCAGTCTCTCTTATTTTGAGAGGAAAAGTTCAGCGCAAGCAAGATTTGAAAACATGCAAGAAAATTGGTAGACCAAAGAAGCTGTCAGATAGAGATCGGAGAAAATTAATAAGAACAATAAAAACTCTGTGTGATAAAGACCCAAATTTTACTGTTAAGCGCAGAAAATTGGTAGACCAAAGAAGCTGTCAGATAGAGATCGGAGAAAATTAATAAGAACAATAAAAACTCTGCGTGATAAAGACCCAAATTTTACTGTTAAGCGCTTGGTTGTGCACAGCGGACTGCTGTCACGTGATATTTCGTATCGGACATTTTATTGTGAGGTGAAAGCAGCTGGATTTGATTATCTACCTGCGCGTAAAAAGGGGGTTTTAACAAGCTGTGATCGCACGAAAAGAAAGTCGTTTGCGCAACAATGCAAGAAGATCCTTTCCACAAAGTCCGGATTCTTCTCGCGAAATATTGCCTTCTATTTAGACGGGGTTTCTTTTGTTTATAAGACACAGCCTCTTAGTGACGCTTTAGCCCCTAGAGGGCGTGTATGGAGAAGAAAGAACGAGGATTTACAATTGACGGCAAAAGGATCTAAAACCCTTGCGGGTGGCAAACGGCTTCACTTACTGGTCGCAATTTCTCACAACAATGGGATTGTAGTGGTAGAAGAATATGAGAAAATGACCGGTACCTATTTCGCTGAGTTCGTAAAAAAAAAATTTCCAGCACTACTATCGCGCAAGCGTGGAAGAAAATGGTTCATAATGGACAACGACCCGTCTCAGCGAAGCCTAGCAGCTAAGGCAGCTATAAAGGAAGAGGGATGCGAGTTATTTTGTATCCCAGCGAGATCTCCAGACTTAAATCCAATAGAAAACATGTTTCACATAGTTAAGAAGCAGCTTGATACTCAAGTTAGAGACTCACAGATTGTGCGTGAGACATGGGAACAATTTAAGACTAGAGTTATAAAAACTTTATATAATGTTTCTGTAGATTATGTAAATAATATTATCACAAGCATGCCTAAGCGAATACACGCTGTATTGCAGGCTGACGGCTTTAGAACAAAATACTGACTAAGTTACTATGACAACGGATTGTACATCGTATTTCCGTATCAACGAATCCCACACATGTTCGCGTAATAATTTTCATATTTTCTCACATGTATATGATCGTTGTTGGGAATTTAAACACACAGTTGCATGCGTAAGGAATACATTAATACTTTGGCTTCAAATACGGGTGCGTTTCGTTATAAATGACAGAGAAAATGGGTTAAAAGTCGACGAATCCCACTTTTCTATTTACTAATTATGATGTCATATTTCAACTTACTATAAATAGTGGGAATCGTTCGACGAAAGTCGATTTTCATGGAATCAAATTGATTTCGCTCGAAGTTAACCACATAATCAATTCCTTTGACATATTTACAATAAGCTAAGAGAGAAAAACAGCAAGAATTGTTGAACTTAATTCCCTTTTCTACATAAAATGTGACTGGGATTCGTGTGGGATTCGTTGATGCGTCATAAGCCACTTAGTTAGGGATGACCAGAATACATATTTGTTAACACCTTAATGTAGCCTACGTTAAATTAAAATACATCATTATAGATCACTGTTCAGCGTATAATATTAACTCAGCAAAGCATCGAGCGCAAGCCGCAATGTTTCTTTGTTCATCACGCGGAATTTGTCTATGAAGCGGAAACATTCGCCATCTTACATTCATCATTTCTGTGTTCACGCGATCAATAGATCCATTGTTAATTAAAATAAGTGGGGCGTCACTCGTTGCAATGATGGCGTGTCCCTCTCGAGAACAATATATTTGCTCATCTGATTTTTCGGGGCTGGAAAATGAACCGTGTCACCTTCTAAGACCTGCAAAAACTCGCATCACGGTATAAGGGATGGTTTCCCCAACCCTACATTTTAAGCCATTTATACGTGTATGAATTTATACCTATATCACGCTTAACTGAAATTACTTTATTATGAGCCGACCAGCCAAATAATGGGTAAACACTTGTTCAGATACTTGGTAAATTTAAACTTTTTAATCAAGGCTGAACATGTAATAAATACTTGATATTTATGATACAATATTCTGCCAGTTGCATACAATCAGTGACAAAAGGTTTTTGGACAGTGGTATAATATATACATATCTCCGCATCTCCAAATACTGTTCAGCATAAAGCCACTATCTCTCCCTGCCCCACCCTAAACAATGTTGCGTGGCTGGCTAGGAACATTTTGCGCAGGTATTTCCACACACAACATTGAACGGGGGGTGGGGGGCGTCGATTATGTTGTAAACGTACGCTGTTTAGCTATTTTGTCCAAAGTGTTTCGTCACTGATTGTAGCTAAGTGCGCCTCGCATACCCACCGTGCTTGGACAATAAGGAGTTGAGTATTTCAATTTCATCAAGTTCTTTGTATAACTATATTCATCACACGTCTCCAGGAGCTTTTCACTCGTATTTGTATAGCTCGCTTTTTTGTCTGAGGGCATGTTTATGTATGGAGGCAAGCCGGTTTAGCTCTCTTTTTCGTGATGAATTTTCCCTGTGTTTACATAAGAATCGTGTTCTGACAAGCCGACTCTCAGAAACAAATAAAGCATTCTTGCTGAGTAAATACAGACACATTTTCCAAAAAACCTGAAATCATACTTTTCCGAATACGTTTCAGCCGTTTCACGGTTAAAACCCACAGAAAGGGTAGCAAAAAGACTTCTTAAGATCGAAATCGATAGAAAAAATCTCCTTTACAACATATGTCGCGTAATTATGGCAGTTCGGTTCCCATATAAAGACAAGGTGAAATTTAATAGGAAACGATAACAAACGCGCTATATATAGATCGCTTTCAGTTCCCATGGTCAATCATGCTATTTTTGACCAATCTTGCTATTTTTTACAAATCTTGCTATTTTTGGCCAATCTTGCTATTCTTGGTGTGATTTAGATGTGACATCTGCATTATACTACGCAACACCAAGAAATATACCTGCATCCATCTAAACCAGTAGCTATTCTAAACAGAGATTATATTAGATAATGCTGAATGTATTGTTCAGTATTTCTATAGGCCGATGGCGAACACATTAATTTTTATCACTTATTTTTCTATTTTTTTGTATGGAAATTATGAAATACACACTCGAGAACATTTT